AGTGGATAGAGCGTCGGCCTGCGGACTGAAAGGTCCCAGGTTCGATTCCGGTCAAGGGCATGTACCTGGGTTGCGGGCACATCCCCAGTGGGAGGTGTGCAGGAGGCAGCTGATCGATGTTTCTCTCTCATCGATGTTTCTAACTCTCTGTCTCTCTCCCTTCCTCTCTGTGAAAAAATCAATAAAATATATATTAAAAAAAAAAAGATCATGTTTGTGAGTTTAATACATGTTGTTATATTTAATAGTAATTTTTTTCATTGCTGTGTAGTATTCTACAGTGGGACTATACTATACTTATCCATTCTACTATAGATAGACATTAGAGTTATATTTTGGTGAACACACCTTTCAGTGAAAACAAGTAGGCATTTCGATTTAGAAGTGAAACTCCTGGGTTATAGACTATGTGTGCCAAACAATTTTCCACCTGGCAATGAATGAGCATTCCAGTTGTTCCACATCATTGTCAATACTTGGTATTGTCAGTCTTTTAAATTTTAGCTCTTCTGCTGTGTGTTTAGTTGTACCTTATTGAGGTTTTAACTTGCAGTTTCCTCATAATTAATGAGGTTGAATATGTTTTCATTTTTCTTGACTATTAGCTACCTACTCTTGTAATGTATCTGTTCTATCTCTTGCCCACTTTTCTACTTAGTTGTCTTTTTAAAAATATTGATGAGAGAAAGAGAGAGAGAGAGAGAGAGAGAGAGAGAGAGAGAGAGAGAGAGAGAGAGAGAGAGAGAGAGAGAGAGAGAGAGAGGTTTGTTGTTCCACTTATTTATGCATTCATTGGTTGATTCTTGTATGTGCCCTGACTGGGGATCGAACCCCATAACCTTGGTGTATCGGGACAACACTGTAACCAACTGAGCACCCGACCAGAGCTGTTAGATTTTTTTAAAAATTTACTCATAAGAGTTCTTGCAACCTGGATAGGAACACTTTGGTGGTTATATGCACAGCAAATGTTGCTAAACTGCATTTAAAAGTTGCAAAGTTGTGAAAGAAAGCCTCACTTATAAAAGGAAGGGTGGTGAATCATCGAACCCTCCATAAAAATGATCACAATCTCAGTTTGGGGGTTTGAATTTACCCAGTGGCCTAATATTTTTGCTGAAGCTTCAAGAAAAGGGGAAATATATCTAGTGATAACAGAGGAATGAGTGGCTGACTAGTTACCCAAAGTGCCCACTAAGTAACATTATCTTGGTGCGGAGTTGGCCTGGTACTCATATCTAGGCCTTGTTGAATATAAACAATTTCACAGAACATGAACATCAGACAAGGCCACTCTGACCATGCCAAAACACGACCCTTCTATAATTATATCTAAACAACAGAAAAAACCTGAACATTGTCCAAAGCCCAAAATGACCAAACATCTCCCTACTCTGGCTAAGAATAGTGACTGCTCTTTTGTTTTGTTTTTACCAATTACAGCTTTAGCTTCAGTCTAGCCTACCCCCCTTCTAGATGAGACTTACATATTATGATATCCAGTCTTAAGAATTATCCCTCCTTCCTAGCGGCATCCAACCCAAAGCAAAACTCCCTTTTCTTCTCTTCCTCCTTCTTCTAAATCCTTCCCTCAGGACATGTTTATTGATTTTAGAAAGAGAAGGGGAAGGGGGAGAGAGAGAGAAACATTGATCAACTGCCTCTCACACATGCCAAAACTGGGGATCAAACTGACAACCCAAAAATGAGCCCTGACCAGGAAGGGAACCCACAACCTTTTGGTGCATGAGATGATGCTCCAACCAATTGAGCCACACCGGCCAGGGCTCTTCTTTAAACACTCCCCGAAATCATCAAACACAAGCTTGAATCCTATGAGTCCCTTTCTAATACTTACTGAGATGCCCCATGGTTGTCCATGGTATGCATTCTCCCTCATTGCAACAAGTAATAAATGCAATGAGTAATAAACCCAACCACTGATGTATTCCTGGTGGTCTCTGGTTAGAGGGCATTGACATTGGAGAAACCAGGACAATCTAGCAGCCTGAGACAGACAACTTACTTGTCAGAACAGAGAAAATGAGAAGATGACCTTTATCCAGGGTAAATGTACATTAGCCACAGACACGGACACTGATGGGTGAATAAAATTATTAATTTATTTTTAAAAATAAACCCCGAATTGTCAGAAAAGGCAAATTAAGAGAGACAGAAAGTACATTAGTGGTTGCCTGGAGTTGTGTATAGAAAGGGGATTAAACATTACAGATCATCATATAGAGGTGATACTCTAAACCTGTATTATGACAATGGCATTGTCACTCAGTAAACTTGATAAAAACCACTGCATTTTATACTTAAAGTGAGTAAAGTGCATGGCATATAAATGATAGCTCAATAAAGTCGTTAAAACAATAATCCTAGAGACCAGCTGTGTGAATCCAGCAAACATTCTGTGTCAGCAAACCACATGGCAAGCTACACTGTAAACAAAAAACTGGTTGAGGGGCATAAATTCAGAGCAACCCGAATTAGCTACAGGCATAATTTGTTTTATTGCACTTAGCTTCATTGTGCGTCACAGATGTTGCATATTTTACAAATTGAAAGCAAGACCCTTCACCAGCAAAAAGATTACAACTTGCTGTATTGCAATACTCACCTTATCCTGGTGGTCTGGAACCAAACCCTCAGTATCTCCAAGGTATGTTTGTGTATGATTAGAATACGTCCATCTACCTCAGAGTTACACCAACCATGCTGGAGCCTTTGGGCCAGGCCATTGTCTCCTCTGAGTAACACTTTGGTGTTTGCCTCTGTGGCTCCATTTTTCCAGGTTCTGCAGCATGAATAAATCCCTCTTCTGGTTTTACTTTACTTATAAACTAAATCTTGTTGTCCTGGGAAACATTCTATCTTAAAACTTATGAAGATCTCTCATACCTTGCCTCTAAACTACCATGACTTGCATTTAGAGCCAGTTATTCAGGGCCAGTTTTATTTGCAAGTTGCAGCGAGAAGGGGACTATGGATGGCTGACTCACTTTATGTCCTTTGGATTATCACAATTTTATATCAGAAATTGAAGATCAATGAGGTGATTTTTATCTTCTAGAAAATCTTGAAAGCCCGTTCATTTACAGGGCATAAAACTAACAGCATAGCTGCCCTTCTGTGCAACTTGACACAGAAGTGGGTTGCCAGGTAAAATAAACTCATGGCCCATGGAGTATTTGGGACATACAGATACTAAAGAATTATTCACTGTTAACCTGAGATTAAAATTTAACTGCGCATCCTGAATTTTTATTTGCGAATAAATACAAAGAAGCTGTGGGTAACGCAGAAAAACAGGCTGTCCAAATTACTTTGGCAAAGAGGAGTGGAAGAAACACCAAATTATCAAGAGTCTTAAATAGGCAAATGTTATCTGTAGCAGACAGAGGAAAGGGGGGAAAATCCTATCCCTCGAGTTTTAAAATGGAATCAGAAGCATTAGTACTTTTAGAAAGGGAGCATCAGTCTCAGGGAGGATGAAGGAAAACTTCATTTATACTAGTTTGCAACCGGAGTCCCTACCCAGCCCTTCTACTTGACGGCGCCCAGGCGGACGCACCTACAAGGCAAAGCGATTGTGTTCTGTGCCCGGGAGGCGGCTCGGAGCGACCTCCCCACGCCACGCCTGGGGCTCCGCTCCGACGCCGGCGCCAGGTAACGCGGGGAAATACCGGAGTAGGCGTCGCCCTGGAAAGGCCGGATCCGGAAATCAGGGGTCCGCTCCGCCCCCGCGGTCC